ATAGTACTTTTGTACTATTTAATAATTTAATTAAACGATTTGTTATAAAAAAAGTACTTTTAACTAAATATTCGACAAATTTAAGTATGATTTTACGATTTTAAATACCTTAACGATTATTTAAGTACATTTTTAACAATTTGTACTGAAATGGTACTTTTTGTACTATTTAATGATTTTCATTAAACGATTTTTAACGGGAAATTACTTTTAGCAATGTTTACTGAAATAGTACTTTTTGTGCTAGTTATTTAATAATTTCATTTAACGATTTTTAAAAAAAAGTACTTTTAACTAAATTTTCGACAAATTTAATACTTTTAACAATGTTTACTAAAATAGTACTTTTTGTACTTCATCGATTTTTTAGGAAAAATTAATTTTAACTAGATTTTCGACAAATTTAGGGTTTTTAAAATTTTTATTTGAATATTACTTTTTGTACTATTTAATGATTTAGGAAAAAGTTCTTATAACTAAATTTTCGACAAATTTAGTAATTATAAATAAATTTTCGACAAATTTAGTACTTATATATATAACTAAATTTTCGACAATTTTTGTATGATGTTACGATATTTTAACGATTATTTAGGTACAATTTTAACAATGTGTACTAAAATAGTACTTTTTGTACTATTTAACGATTTTTTACGGAAAATTACTTTTAACTAGATTTTCGACAAATTTAGTATTTTTAACAAAGTTTACTAAAATAGTACTTTTTGTATTTGATTTCGTTTAAGGTTTTTTTTTGTAAAAAGCACTTTTAACTAGTTTTTCGACAAATTTAGTATTTTTGTTACGATATTTTAACGATTATTTAGGTATTTTTATTTTATTTAATGATTTCGTTTAAGGATTTTTTTGAAAAAAGTACTTTTAACTAGTTTTTCGACAAATTTAGTATTTTTGTTACGATATTTTAACGATTATTTAGGTACATTTTTAACAATGTGTACTAAAATAGTACTTTTTGTACTATTTAACGATTTTTTACGGAAAATTACTTTTAACTAGACTTTCGACAAATTTAGTATTTTTAACAAAGTTAACTAAAATAGTACTTTTTGTATTTAATGATTTCGTTTAAGGATTTTTTTGAAAACGCACTCTGATATGT